AAATCTTATTAAAGAATGTTAAGGATCTCTAAAAATAATTGACCATTTCTGACATTTTATTAGCCTCAAATACCTCAACAAATATTCATGCGTTTGTCTTTAAGGTGTATTTCCCAAAATATTTTTGTAGGGAGATGATTTCAGCGATTTATATCTTTATACTTGATTTGTTTTCGTATATCAACCAATATTGGATAATGTAGAACCCATAATAAAATACGCTATAAATTTTGGATGGGAAATTTATTTTTGTTTTTGAATAAAAATGTGTATATGGGTGAATCTCACGAAATGTCCCCCGATGGTGTTACCCCGTGATATTTAATAAAACTAAATGAGTTTGACCTACACTTTTATTGTGTTTTGATCTTTCATAATTAAGTAGATATTTCAGCACAGGTTTCAGATTTTTAACCGCAATTAATTATTTTTTACAATGTTTTAAAAGTCTAAAACCTATCCTCCGTGATTGTTACTCTTTCTAGGTTAACCTATATGTTTTTAAATATCTGAGGTAGAAAAAGCGTACTAAAAATATTAGTTCACAAAGCAATAATTTTTATAACCATTTACACAAATTGATTCTATCCTCCGTGAATCTGTTTTTGCTTTAAATCATTTTAAATAAGGAAAAACCTCTGTTTACGACATTATACATAGGTGCATGTGATTCCTGAAGTTCATTTAGAATTTATATGCAGATGAAAGTGTTGCTGTTTTATAATTCAAAAGTTAAAGTTCATTAATTTGCTATTTAAAAACCAATCCACCGTGAAGTGTAATATCTCAGTAAGTAGATTTTTTTATAAATATTTTATGTATGTACACTTGAATATTCAAATATACAAAGGGATGTTTAAAAAAAACCCTATCCTATCTTCCGTGAAGCTCTAATATTCAAAATGTATGATTTCTTAAAATTCTTGCATTAGTGCAGAACCGCTTATGTTATGTTATTACTAGACCTGGTGGCTTCCCAAAAACCCCATTCTAGACTAACAGTCAAACAACCAAAAATAAAAAATAATCATTTTCACTTGGGGGACATCTCAATATATTCACCCATACGATTTGGGATGTACATAAAGTAAATATTTTTTTATTTAAAAAAATGGCGAATGCTCCGGGGTTAATTGGAATTTTAAACAAAATCAGTTCCAATTATAAATACTTACCTATTGCGCTTAGTTGTTGTTTTAATAATGAATGTTTATACTTCCTTTAACCAACGTTTAACGAACTGTAAAACGTTTAGCGTTTCGTCATTAAATTTTGTTAGTCTCCAATATCGTTTAGGAAACGAAGTTTACCAATTTCGGTAAATTTTATTTTCCCAATAGGCAACAATACTTAATGTTATCAGATTGTTTCTTTCAAGTTTATTTTGCAGGCAATAGGTCTGAGGTTTATTCCTTAAATTATCTCAAACAAAGGAAATATACCCTACCAAATTGCTAGTATAAAAACTTGAAATTTCATCAGAAATATAAAACTAAAGCGTTTTCAAATGAATAATAAAAAATTATATAAAGTCTTGAACTTTTTAAAATAATAATATATATTATACTTGAATAATTGTATTAAATATGGTAAAAAATATAAACATCTTGAAGCGTTCCAAATTTATTTTTAAATTCGTATTTTTAAGGAAAACTCGAGAAACCAGTAATTATTCTAATTGCAGTTGTTTTTGGTGAGTTTCCAAAATTTAAGTCATTTTAATTTATTTATAGATAAACAGAAAAACAATCTGTTGGCTTTTACATGCATTGTTGAGTAAAGTGGAAATCTTCTTTACTACATCTTACATTTTACTTACCCCGTTTTGCTTTGATAATTATAATTTATTAAAAAATAAATTTTATCCTTTATATTATTAATAAATCAATATTTGTACTTACTAAAACCCAAGCAAATATTAATACCCTAAATCAATAAAAAAGTTTTTTAACCAATTTATTAACCTCTTGTATTTGTCAGCAGCAAATTATTAATGATGTAGCTATCAAGTTTCTAATTACTAACTGCCATTTCATCTTGCATGTTAAAATACCTAATTGAATTTTTTTTGCATGGGCTACTTTTTTTAATACTTTTTTGTCTTTTTTGCATAGATAGAGATAGATACAAAGACTACTTTTTTTTATTTGTTTTTCTTGTTATTGTTTTTTTTTCTCAGAAGGCGACTAACACAAAAAGTTTTTTTTATTTCACTGGCATCCCGCCTTTTTTATGTATTTTTAATTTTGTATTTCCTTAAATCACGCTAGCGAAGCTTAAAAAAAAATTCCCATACCGGGAATCGAACCCGAGCCTCCTGGGTGAAAGCCAGGTATCCTAGCCACTAGACCGTGCGTGTGTTTATTATTTGTTTTATGTTATACATACAGGGTGTCTAATTAGAATATTTTATACTTTTATTAATATAAATATTGAGTTCACACCAGAGTTTCATTAATAACTGAACCCTGGTTATTTTCTCCACTGTATAAAAGCTACCCAGGTGTGGCCATAGAGAAAGGAAAAAAGGAGAGGAACACTTTACGTGTTACGATTAAGGCACATAGTTTCGAGCGCCCTCGGTGGCTACGGGAATGAACTAGGTGTTTGGAGGGAGATTTAAAACTAAAATAGATCTATTTATGATAGGAATAATAAAAATGCATATTAAGATAAATTTTTTTATTCAAGAAACAAATGTATATAAATAATAGTATAAATAAATAATAATAGTAATAAATAAATAAAGTAAATATTATAAAGTAAATAGTAATAAATAATAATGTGTGCCTGGTTGCCAATTGGAAAAACTTTTTTAAGACAAAAATTGTTACGTTTTAAGAAAAAATTTAAACAAATATACAGGGTGCTTCCAAATCACGGATTAATTCATTTATAGAATTTTTTTAGAGAAAGTCGATGAAAATTATAATACGAAATAATAAAATATTGAATGCCTAATTTTATTTAAAGATGTTAATTTTTTAAATTTATATTTGGTCTTTAAATTGCCAACTATAAATATATATCTATAGATATTATAAAATATTATAAATAAAGGTACTTTTTGAATTTTCTTAATTTTTAAACAACCTGTATATTTGATTAATTTTTTAATGGGAATCTCATTTTTAAATAATTAGAAGATATTATGAAGAATGTTTTTTCGTAAAACGCATAATAAAAATGTTCACAAACCCCTCTGGGGAAACACTGTATATAACACTGTATTATAAAACAGAACAAAAATAAAAAATAACAAATAGGTACCTAACAAATAAAAACATTTTTAGCAGATATAATATGGTGAAAAAATTAATAAACTTTAATCTTAAATATAAACAAAACAAAAGAAACATTTTTGCATAAAAACATCTTATACAGGGTGTCCCATAATTAGCGTGCATACAAAAATAGGTCGAGAAATGCTCTCCAAGGGAGCTACAGCCCCCAAAACAGGAGCCCCTGAAGATGGTTTTTATTAAATATCTCCAAAACCGTTTAAGATAAAAAAGTGAAATTTTGGGATATAATCAAACTTTATATAGCCAATAAATTGGAATGATAAAAAATTCAAAATTTTTATAAGGGGTGGGTCAGATAGAAATGGAGGGGGGGTAAAACTACCCTAACTTTTTTGTACGTATCATGTGCTATGATTTGATATCAGATCATAAAATTTCAGAGTTTTACACACAAAAACGGTCCTCTTGATGAACTTCGATAGCATGCACCGTTTTCGCTTAAAATCGATTTAAAAATTACCTTACATAGCATAAAAATTCATAATTAAATCACAAAGAAAAAGATTCAGCGTAGGCCATGGACAATTTTTAAACATGGCCATGGACAATTTTTAAACACCCTGTCACATATTACATAAAACTGTCACCTGTATTAAATAATTTTTCCTAAAGATGGCAGCTGTGTTCCATGGCCTACTCTGAATTTTTCTCTCTTGTGAATTTATTATGATCTTTTATGCTATGTAAGGTAATTTTTTTTAAATGGATTTTAAGCGAAAACAATGGAGAATATCAAAGTTTAACAAGAGGACCTTTTTTGTGTGTAAAATTCCTAAATTTCATAATTCACATCAAATCCCAGCACGAGACACGTACAAAAAGGTAGGGTGGTTTTAACCCCTATACCCTATCAATCTGACCCACCCCACATGGAAATTTTGAATTGTTATTATTACGTAATGTACATCTTATTGGCCATAAAAAGTTTGATTAATTTCTACCTTAACGATTTTGGATATATTAAATAAAAACCATCTTCAGGGGCTCCTCATTTGGGGGCTGTAGTTTCCTTAGAAAGCATTTCTCGGCCTATGTTTATGGGAACTTTTTTTTCTTATTTTTGCACGTAGTATTGCACGCTATTTATGGGACACCCTGTATATTACATATAAACCATATAAATTTTAATATTATTACCTCAAATAAAGCTGTAAACCATATGTGGTTTATATTTTTATAATAATAACAATTTAAAGTTTAAACTGCCCATTATTATCTTTAGGGACATTGAGAATCTCCTACCAGGTATATCAGAACGATTAGATCCTAAAAAACAAAGTATTAAGGAGGTGCAGAGTGTTTATAAAATTATTACCTTTAATGTAGCTCCGGACAAAGCATACACAAAAAAATAAACAAATAAACCATGTACACAAACAATGTAACCTCACAAAACGAAGTTTTATAATACAAAAATTACTCAAACACACCCGCTAGAATGTTGTCTTTGTTGAATACATATAAAAACAAAGACGGCTGCAGAGCAGTATGACAATTATATAGTTCAGCCGCTCACCACCATGCGCTATGCGCTACGGGAACGTTATGCATGCGCCGTCCTATTCAATTGGTGGTCTTTTTCTTTTCTTTTGTCTATGGGTGTGGCGCTTCACCACAATAAAAAGGAGCTGGCGCCCGAGATTTGTTTTGTATTAGACAAACCAATAGGTAAGTGCGTCATTAGAAAGTATCGTTACAAAATGGTTAACCTCGCTAGAGGGCGCACGTGAAGGAAGAACGCTCCTGAGAATTATAAGATTTCCAGGGCTTTTCGGCCAAAAACGTGCGGCAAAAAAGTGAAAACGGCCCTATTAAGTGTTAAGAAACCACAGAGAGTAAGGTCCGTTCAATCGCATATCGATTACAACACAAGAAAATCTACACAAAGTGACAACCACAACCAGTCAGAGAATATCACAATACTGAGTAATACAAGGAACATTTACAAATACAAAGTATAATAAACACCGGTAAGAAGCCCCACAATAACAAATATCACAAATAAAAACCCGTATAACTCACAAAACCCATAAGTCGAAAAGTAAGGTTAAGTGAGGTTATGACCACGTGGAAGGAAAACGAATTAACCGTCCTACAAGAGTATTTAGCCACCAAAGAAGGCCCCATAACCCGAGATGACCACACTATTATCCAGCAAAGACTACCACACAGATCCATAGCAGCTATAAAAAAGAAATGCCAAGAAACCAAGGCAGCCACGAACAATCCTGCAGCCCAAGCAGAAAGGCGGCAAAGAGCAAGCAGGTGGTGCAATGAGGAAGTAGAAAGGTTGGTGGAAGCATATACAAGCAGAGAAGAAACCCAAGTTACAGCGAGATTAAAGGCAATCCAACATATGTTCCCAGGCAGATCGGTCAAAGCCTTGGCATCAAAACTGAAGACCGAACACCCAAATATTTACTATATGAAAGCAGGACCCTTAACAGACCCAGAAGACAACACTAGTTTGCACAATGAAGCAAATGAAGATGAAAATAGCACAAACAATAAAGACGATCACATAGTGGCAGAAAACCAAGAAGGGAATCCACACGAAGTAAGTGCACAAGAAGAAAGACCACCTAACAGAGATAATACAAGCACAAATAACCAAATTGTGACCACAGAAAATGCACACGAAGTAAGCACACAAGAACGTAAGCAAGCAAACACAAACGAGAGTGGTGAAAACAATCAAAATGAACCCATTAGAGAAAATAGAATGAAAAAAATAGAAGAAAATTTGGAAAACAATGATGATTTACTGGTAAATGACCAAGAATTACAAAACTTATCAACAATGTTTGAAAAAATCTACAAAAACACAGGTAAAATTAAAACAAAGATCAAAAAATTTTTTATAAGACCTAAAAACAATAAAACAGTAAATCAAGTAAACCAAATTTTAGAACGAAAAATAGCAGACATCCAAAACACTACAGAAACAGAAGTAGAAAAGAGAAAGCAAATAAAAACATGTATATACACTGCTGGCCAACTACTAAGGACAATGATATTTGGCAAGAACAATGAAAAAACACCAGATTATGTCCCCACTGAGAGAAAAATAAAACAACTCAAAGAAAACAAAGAAATAGCAGAGCAAATAAGACAGATTAATGGAGAAAAATTAAATAAAAAACAGTACACATTAATAAAAATAATGAAAAAGTGGAGAACAACACCCACCCAGTATATAAACACAGCAGAAGAAAGAATAAAAAGTCTAGAGATACAACTGGAAAAACAAAAACAGAGGTATGAGCAATTTAAAATCCGCAGTAGATATCTAAAAAACCCAACCTTTAAAATCCTAGTAGAAAAAAGTAAAACTAAAACCCCAAATTTGACTAGTATAGAAAGATTCTACACCGAAATTTTTAGGAAAGATGATGTAGAAGAAAAAACACCTATATTAGACAAATGGCTGAAAAAACTGCAGAGATATAGTAAAAATAACAACTATCAAGAACAACCAGAACAACTCAAACTTGCTAAGCTCATAAAGACTGTCCTCCAGAAGTCACCACCTTGGAAAGCCCCAGGAGAGGATGGTATTCCCACCTACCTATACAAGATATTGCCAGCTGCAAACAGATACCTTAACCAACATATGCAAAGAATCTTTAGTGGAGCAACATCAATCAATGAAGCTGATACGAGAGCCACAGTCATCCTTATACACAAGAAAGGAGATCCTGAAAATCCCAGCAACTACAGGCCTATAGCGCTATTAAACAACGACTACAAGATGCTAACAGCCACAATAACACTGATGCTCAAAGAAAACCTTCCCAAGTGGGCCATACCACCTGAACAGCTAGCCAGAGAGAACGTCTGGGGCACCATGCAGGGAATGATGATAGACAAAGCCACCACGCAGATAGCCCGTATGAGGAACAGGACAAACTACTCCACCTGGTATGACTTTACCAAGGCCTACGACTCCATTAACCACGAACAACTGAAAAGGATGATGAACACCCTCCCCCTCCCAAGAATTGTCCGCCAAGTATTGCGCCAAGCGGTAGGACTCTGGTCAATAAGAGTTAAAGCAGGAAAGGGCCTCTCCAAACCCATATATGTCAAAAGAGGAGTATACCAAGGTGACACCATAAGTCCAATGCTATTTGTGCTAATAACAGCTTCAATATTGGTGCACCTTAGAGAAGATCCTGAGATCAACCGACTTACCAAAGGCAAGCATGTAATTATGGCCTTTATGGATGACATCAAGGTGCACACACCAACAAAGGAAGGCAGCAGAATAATGACAGAGGAACTAAGGAGGGGAGCACAAGAACTGGGGCTAAGGCTCAATGAGAACAAATGTGGACTGTACAGCCGAGACCAAGAGGGAGAAGTGATAGACCAAGACCCACCATTTCTCCCAGAGATCAGAGAAGCATACACCTACCTAGGCATTGAGCAGCTGGAGAGAGATACACAAAAAAATTACGAGAACATACAGACTAAAGTCAAACAAAAGACTGAAGTAATTTTTTCCTCAGAGCTCTCAACAAACCAAAAAGTAGAACTTTATAACAGCGCCATCGTTTCCGCAGCCATATATGTCCTGGGTAATATATACCCCGACGAAAAACTAGCTACTTCCCTACTGAAATGCAAAAAAATGGATGACAACATTCGAAAATCTCTAGTCCAGCACAACATCAAGGGCAAAACAACATCAAATGCCAGGGTATATCTCCCAACCCTCAAGGGGGGCTTAGGTATAAGATCCATAGAGCTGGAAACCGAACTCCAACTTGTGAGGAAAGGAGTATACCTCGAGAACCACCCAGACACGAAGGAGGCGCTACAAAAATTCCAAAAATTACAAGCTAAAGGCTGGAGGAACCCAATTACAGACATGGGAAGGGTGCTGGAGAAATATGAGTGCACAAATATTGAGGTCGACATGGAGAGAGATCTAAAAAAGCTAACACAAAAAATCGTGAAGAGGGTTAGAGAAAGGCAGATAGCCAGGATAGAAGTAAAATGGGCCACACATATGCACTACCCCAAACGTGTAGTTAAAGAAGGAAACAAAATAACTTTCCCCGCATACACTTCACCATTTCTTGATGGCTGGAGACTGACCCTTCTACAAGCAGCCGCAGAAGAACAGATTCATGGGCTGGGGGCCATCCCAGAATACCGCAGGAGGTGCAGAAGAGGCTGTGCAAATGACGAAACGGCGTACCACGTTGCCACAGCATGCCCAAGCAACGAGTTCATCACCAGACATGACAACTTGGTATATTGGATACTAAAGGCCATACTGGGTGCGACCGGAGCTCCAAAACCAACCACGGAGAGCCTATTCTTCGGTAAGGCAACCCTGAACGCGCAGTACACCAACATTAAGAACCAAAGGAACATGACAGTAATAGCAGGCCACCCAATAATAACTGAATATAATCTACATCACAATAAGCCTGATATCCTGGTGAAACTGGAAAACCCCACGGAAGTAATAATTTTGGAAATTGCAATATCACATATCCAAAATTACAGAGACCAAGAAATGCTAAAGCACACAAGATATGCTGTAAATTCTGTGGACAACATAACCAATGAAAATGCCACATCCATTAGTCGCAAAGCAAATCTGGTCACTGAGGTGGGGAACATGCATGCTTGCTCGGCGGAACTGGGGATATTTGTGGTTGGATGCTATGGGGAGATCATTACGACTGAAGCCCATAACAAATGTATCAAATTACTCAAGAGGCTGGGTCTAAGTGATCTGGACTGCAAAGGACTGGTAAATAAGTGCAGCTACTCAGCAGCAGTATCAACTTCAACAATCCTGATGAGGAGGCTGCAGAAATAGGGCACTACCCTACAAACTACCCAAGTATTCTGTATATGTGATAAACCAAATGTGATATTTTTTTTTTGTAATGTAATCAAATGTGATAAAATGTATATATTTACACACAATGTAGTATTTTATAATAAGACAGTATGTAAATAAAGATATTATAGACCATATGGGATATATAAATTTAAGACAAGACTTTCTAAATAAAATTTTTAATTTAATGCAAAGGCAAATAATTATTATATTAAAAGTTTATTTAATTTAAAACAATGCTGTTCCTATATTTGGTGATATTTCTTTAAAGCCTGATTTATACATTGCCTCCCGAAGACCTCCCGTAGAAGATGAACAATACAATCCCGTACGGGAATCTATAAGCTGCACTACGGTTTTCGCATTGTTAATCTTTAAAAGAAGGGAGGAAGAAAGGAAGACAATCTATAAATTAGGCTTAATAAGGAGGACAATTTCGGACAATTTCCGTACGGGAATCTATAAACTGCACTACGGTTTTCGTATTGTTAATCTTTTACATGAGGAAGGGAGGAAGAAAGGAAGACAATCTATAAATTAGGCTTAATAAGGAGGATAATTTCGCACAAAATTACAATGTTGGAAACATGTTATGTTATTTAATGAAATTTTGTAATCATCGTAAAATGAGAATTAAAACAAAATTTTACATTTGTTGAAGTTTGACAATAATTGTTGACTAATATTTGGTTCTTCAAATGTCTTTTCTTATATTTTAAACTTGAAGCATTTCGAGAAACGGGGGATAATTTTTTAATATTTGACATTGGCAACACTGCTTTCTGCAAGTCTTTTATCTATGGCTTTCTGCGCAAAGCCAAACAAAAGTGGGCATGCGCGGCCTTTATCTTGAAATTTGAACTTTATGTTTATCTCGGTTTATGACTAATTTGTTATTGCAATTTATTACTGCAATTTATCCAGCAATAAGATGAAGCTAACGTTTTTGCTAATTTTCTTCATAACAATAATATTTAGTGTGCATAGTGCATTCCCTAATTTCTACGGTAAAATATTAGAAGAGAAGCTTACAGACGACCCCGGTTCGCCGTTGATTTTAACCCCACTTATCGAACAAGGCAAAATTAAGGTCGCAAGATCGGCTGCTGAAGTGCATTTCAATGGATTCAAGAACGTAAAAAGTTATTCCGGATATTTCACCGTGGATAAAGCCTTCGATTCCAACCTATTTTTCTGGTACTTCCCCTCTCAAACTGACCCAACCAAAGATCCTGTTGTTTTGTGGTTGCAAGGGGGCCCGGGGGCAACTTCCCTCATAGGACTGTTCACGGAAAATGGACCCTTTACGGTGAAAGCAAAGCACGGATTAAAATTGCGGAAATATTCTTGGATTAAATCACACAACGTTATATACATTGATAACCCAGTCGGGACAGGGTACAGTTTCACCAAAGGCGGTTACGCCCAAAATGAAACCAAAGTAGGGGAAGATTTGTGGGCTGCAATGCAACAATTCTACCTACTTTTCCCGGAGTTACAGAAAAACCCATTCTTTGTAACAGGTGAATCATATGCTGGCAAATATGTTCCTGCACTATCGTACACAATCCACAAAAAGAACCCTGATGCTAAACTTAAGATAAATCTACAAGGTCTAAGTATTGGTAATGGTTTAAGTGATCCAGAGCATCAGTTGAAGTATGGGGATTATTTATATCAACTAGGCCTTATCGATACTAACATGAGAACACTGGTGCAGAAATATGAGGCACAGGGTGTTAAATACATTCAAGACAAAGATTATGTGAACGCATTTAAAATATTTGACAACCTATTAAATGGTGATCTCAACAACCATACTTCTTTCTTCAAAAACGTGACAGGATATGATAACTACTTCAACTACTTATACCCTGAAGATCCTATGAATACAGAAATGGCGTTTATGGGGAAATACATTCAAAGAAACGACGTTAGAGCTGCCATTCACGTCGGAAATGCTTCTTTTCATGGCGAAGATTCAACTGTTGAAGTAAATTTAATGGAGGATGTAATGAAATCGGTTGCTCCTTGGGTTTCAGAATTGATTGGCAACTACAGGGTTTTAATTTATAATGGACAGTTGGATATTATTGTTGCTTATCCACTAACCATTAATTATTTGAAGCAATTAAAGTTTAATGGAGCTGATGCATATAAGAATGCTCCGAGGTACAAATGGTATGTTGGCACTGAATTGGCTGGGTATGTTAAACAAGCTGGCAACCTCACAGAAATTTTGGTAAGAAATGCTGGGCATATGGTACCTGGGGATCAGCCAAAGTGGGGATATGACCTAATTTCTAGATTCACTAGAAATAAACCATATCACAACTATTAGTTTTAACTTTCGACAAGGATTGAACTCTTAGAAATGCTCTCTATTTTGTAGTTGATAATAAATAAATGTTTTGCTACCTATAAATTATTTTATTTACATTTACTATAACAGCAACAATTCCACCAATTTAATTAACACCAGCTAAGAATTTAGATATGAAATCTTTTGGTTTGGGTTCCTGACTTTCCTTGAAGTAAGTCATAATGTGACCCTTCTGTTTCCACACTTCCACAACTTCTTTTAACTCCATTTGACCCTAAAATTATAAACTTACTCATACAGGCTGTTTTAGGATAATTTAAGTGCTCATATGCATCAAAATCTCCCTCTATAATATAAAGGGATATAAAAATATGCCTGGTACTGATTACAATTAGGTAGAAACTTATTATTACATTATTTGTATAAGCATTAACCTACCTTAATAATAAGCATATCAACAACCCTCACATCTTGAATATTATTATATTTCGTGAATTCTTCCCTCAATTTTTCTCTACATTGAGGAATATTCTTTGGAATATCGTATTGTTTAACTAAAAATATAGATTATATAAAAGTTAGGTTATATTTATAAAATATCTTACCAATATAAGGCAGTTGCCTATGCCAAGCCTTGTATAAATTAAGTACCCTTTTTCTAGCTTCTTCCTTATTAAGGGATAATATAGGTTTTACTTGTCTGGCTGCAGTTTTAGCCGCTTGAGACATTTTTGAGAATTTCACCAAAAAATGACGTAACTAGAATTTGACGTTTAAATCAAAGTTGCCAACATTATCGCTTTAAAAATCCCTAAAGTTGATAAAAAAATCCCTACTTTAATAATTTTATTTAAAATACTAAAGCAATGAAACAAACAGTACATATTAAGTAAACATTAAATAAATTATAGACATCAGGTACAAAAAAAAATCTTAAAATAAGTCTTTTAAAAATTTACAAGTCGCAAAAAAAACCCTAGAACTAGATTGGTAGCACTGGTTAAACTACATTTTTGTTATATTTCTGTCAAATGTCAAATATTCATCGATTTTGATAATTAAATAAAAATAATTGTTTATTGTGTTAATTAATTGAATAGAATTGTTTTAAAATAATTGTTAAATATGTTGGAAAATCAGGAAGTAAACTTGTTAACAAAAGATTATAATAATATTGTTACAATACCAATTGAGGTTAATAAAAGTAATACGGAATATCACAATGTAGAAGTAATACTATCAGATGGTACAGTGTGTCTTTTAAATCAGGTATTGTAAACAATATTATATGAATTGTAACCTACACTGATCAAATTGTACGTTTTAGTATGATTCTATGAACATATTACAGCAAGATGATATTTTTTCGAACATTGAGTTTATTGAACAGCCCAAAACAAAGTATGTTACCTAATACAGTCCAAGCAACAAAAAAAACATTTTTTTTAGGAATGTTCGAACAATTTTGTTACCTCCACCAAATAAACAGAAAGAACCTCCTCCTCTTAAACCACTGGCACCAAAAACAAACAATGTGGTGTTCAAATGCATTAAATGCGATGAGGAGTTCAATACAATTGGGCAATACAGAAAGCACATGGGTTGGCATAAGACGGAGAGAAAGTTCAAGTGTACAAAGTGTTCATCTGGTTTTAATGTCGAGAGTAACTTTAAAATCCACATGGCTATGCACGGAGAAGGCCGACCAACATGCCCCATTTGCAACTTAAAGTTTCAAAGATCAGCCAGCTTGAAATCGCATTTGCTAATACATCAAGTGGAGGAAACATATTTTTGCGATGAGTGCAAAGCAGAGTTTGATAAGGAAGAAGAATTAATTAAACATTTGGAAGTGCATGCTACAAGCGTGTCAGCAGAAAGTAAGGCATTAATATGTTCATATTGCAAACTTGAATTCGATAATTTTTCCAAGCTGAAAGAGCACATTTCACATCATATTAAAGCTAAGAGGTTGCTGAATAAAAGAAAAAGGGCGAAGAAAAAAACTAAAAAAGATGGCAAATTCGTTTGTGATCTATGTAACAAGGGTTTTATAAAGCAATCTTTATTGGAGAGGCATGAAAGAATACATACTGGAATAAGGCCTTATGTGGTAATTATATTTTTTATTAATTGGTATTTAATTTGTTCTCCAATATTGTAAAGATATGTAAGAATCTTAAAAAGAAATTTTTGAATGATAAAACCCTATCTAATGTTCCAAATAACTTAAAAGTGTCAAGGAATGTCATACATACATTTTAGAATTTAAAAACCATATTTAAGAATGTCAGAAAGGCAATTTTGAATATAAAAGCCATATTTAGGTTATCAAAATGACATTTTAAAACAATAAAACAATATTTAGGGCCGGTTTTTCAATCATAGTTTAAACTTGGTTCAGCATTTGAACTTGGTTCAAACAAAATATGCCGTTTTTCAATCAAAGTTCAAGCTTGAACTTGGTTTAAACTAAATCAAAAGATGAACCATCACTGTTGGCCGTTTAAACGAAGTTCAACTTGACATAACTTAATTTTTCTCTGCTTTATTGTGTATTACGTTGTTTATTTCTTGTTTTGTAATCTGCTGTTATAATAAACGAATGGATATGTTTGAGGTAGTTAGTGAGGATGATGAGGAAATTGGCGAGTTCCTAAATAATATTCAACTTCGTGTGCACAGGCCACGGGTAAGACCGAATCATTTTGAAAGGTGGATTAATGATGAATTTTTTGCCAGATTTCGCTTTTCCAAACCTTTTGTACGTAGGATAGTGGATTTAATTAGACCAGTTATTGCAAATCCGACCAATAGGTTAGTTATAAAAATCATTACTGAGTAGGTAATAGATTTTAGTAAAATTCATCACATGTAACAAAAAACAACAAATTCATTTTATAATATAAAACGAAATACATACAAATAATTCCTTCTTAAAAGAAGTAAAGTTAGCAGCACGATTTTTATCCATAATAAATAATAATTATTGTTCTTTAACAATAGTAAATTGTTTTAAAGCACCCTTTCGCACAGATTAGATATTTTTAAAACAGTACAGATAAACAAAACTCCAAAAGTAAACACAAAATCCTTTTGTCAAAATGACAGTTTTAACTACTATTAATGTAGGCGTATACTAAATTCGGTTGTACCAACTTAACGTTGACACCGCTGATCTAAGTTCAACAGAACTGCTGTTGAGTCGACATTGAAAAACTCATTTGACTGTGAACTGAGTTCATTAACTGATCTAAGTTCCCCTGAACCAAGGTTTAAACCCTAATTGAAAAACCGGCCCTTAATGTCCAGAATTGGTTAAAATTGTCAAGGAATGTCAAACATGCTTTTTAGAATGTAAAAAAATTATTTAAGAATGTCAGAGAGTCAGATTCAAATGTCAAAAGCTCAATTAAGAACGTAAAAACTATGTTTAAGAATCTCAGACTTGGGTAAAAATGTCAAGACTTATTTATGAATGTTAAATAGGCGTTTTTGAATATAAAAGCCATATTTAAGATTGTCAAAATGACATTTTAGAACGATAAAACCATATTTAATGTTCAGAATGTGTTGAAAAAGTCAAAGAATGTCAAACTTACTTTTTAAAATGTAAAAAAATATTTAAGAATGTCAGAGAGTAAGATTCAAGTAAAAAAAAATATCAAAACGTATTTTAAAATGTCAAAAGCTTAATTAAGAACGTAAAAACCATATTTAAGAATGTCAGACTTTGGTAAACATGTCAAGATTTATTTATAAATCTTAAAGAGGCGTTTTTGAATATAAAATCCACATTTAAGATTGTCAAAATGAAAAAGTCAAGGAATGTCAAACTTACTTTTTAGAATGTAAAAATAATATTTAAGAATGTCAGAGAGTCACATTCACGTAAAAAATATCAATACATATTTTAAAATGTCAAAAGCTCAATTAAGAACGTAAAAACTATGTTTAAGAATGTCAGACTTAAGTAAAAATGTCAAGATTTATTTATGAATGTTAAAGAGGCGTTTTTGAATATAAAAGCCATAATTAAGATTGTCAAAATGACATTTTAGAATGAAGAAACCATATTTAATGTTCAGAATTGGTTGAAAATGTCAAGGAATGTCAAACTTACTTTTTAGAACGTAAAAATAATATTTAAGAATGTCAGAGAGTCAGATTCACGTAAAAAATATCAATACATATTTTAAAATGTCAAAAGCTCAATTAAGAACGTAAAAACTATGTTTAAGAATGTCAGACTTAGGTAAAAATGTCAAGATTTATTTATGAATGTTAAAGAGGCGTTTTTGAATATAAAAGCCATATTTAAGATTGTCAAAATGACATTTTAGAACGATGAAACCATATTTAATGTTCAGAATTGTTAGAAAAAGTCAAGGAATGACAAACTTACTTTTTAGAATGTAAAAATATTATTTAAGAATGTCAGATTCAAGTAAAAAATATCAATACATATTTTAAAATGTCAAAAGCTTAATTAAGAACGTAAAAACCATATTTAAGGATGTCAGACTTTGGCAAACATGTCAAGATTTATATATGAATGTTAAAGAGGCATTTTTGAATATAAAAGCCATATTTAGATTGTAAAAATAATATTTAAGAATGACAGACAGACTCACGTAAAATATATCAAAAGCTGAATTTAGAATGTAAAAACCATATTTAAGAATGTCAGACTTGGGTTAAAATTTCAAGATATATTTAAGAACGTTAAAAATCCATTTTTGAATATAAAAGCCATATTTAATATTATCACTGACATTATAAAACGATAAAAACATATATTCAGAATTGGTTAAAAATGTCAACTAATGTCAAACATACTTTTTAGAATGTAAAAATAATATTTAAGAATGTTAGACTTGAGTAAAAATGTCAAGATATATTTAAGAATGTTAAAAAGGCATTTTTGAGCCATATTTAAGATTATCAAATTGACGTTTTACAACGATAACCATATTTAATGTTAAATTGTCAAAATTTGTTAAAAATGTCAAGAAATGTCAAAGATACTTTTTAGAATGTGGGGCATTCCACGATACTCGGGAATTTTTGTCCCGCCCGTCACCATTAAAAATTGTGAGTAAAAACCACACGTTGTTAAATTTATTTTTATTAAGCTTATAAACACAATAAACAAAATATTTTAAAATAACAATTTAATAACATGTGGGGTTTACTCACAATTTATAATTGTGACGGATGGGACAAAAATGCCAGACTTAGGTAAAAATGTCAAGATAAATAAAAGAATTTGAAAAGGTATTCTTCAATATTAAAGCCATATTTAAGAATATCAAAATGAAATATTAAGATGATGAAACCTTATCTAATGTTCAGATTGACTTAAAAATGTTAAGGAATGTCATACATACATTTAAGTATATAAAAACCTTATTTAATAACATCAGAATTAAGTAAAAATGTTAAGAAATATTTAAGAAAGTTAAAAGGAATGTCAATATTTAAGATATTTAATATTTAAGAAGAAAAAAATACATAAGCATGTCAAAAATTTTCTTTAGAATGTAAAAACCATATTTAAATTAAGAAGGACATTTTAGAATTAAATAACCATATTTAATGTTGATTAAAATACCAAAAAAGTTTTTTTTCAAAAAACATTTATCAAGTTTTTATAACATTTTTTACTGTTTACTGTATACTTTTTTTAGTGCAATTTATGTCATAAAAGTTTTACACAAAGTGGAACACTTCAAATACATTTAAAAAGGCATGAAGGTATTCGACCATATGAATGTACTTTATGCCCTGCTAAATTTGGACAAAAAGGTAATGTTATTAACTTCATGTAGAAATTTAATTTAATTTAATTATTTTTTTAGGAAACTTAAAAGTTCATATTCAAAAAACACATACTGCTTCGTCAGCAAACGAAACTAAATACAAGTGTTTTCATTGTTCTTGTATTTTTAAGAAGATTTCCTCATTAAATGCACACATGACTAAATTGCATACAAAAGCAGATGGAAGTGATTCTGTGATTCATGCCACCATGGATCAGTTAAAAAAATTGGAAAAACATACTGGTAAGTCTAAATACTTTATTTTACACATTTTTTGACCAATCTTACGAAAATGGCGCCCGCAGTTTTACTAAAAAAAAATTCGGGGGTATAAATTACACAAGAACATCAATTTATTGTTTAATTATTAATGAAATTACAAGAAAAAAACCAATTTCACGTATTTGTTTTTTTATAAAATTAAACGTATCTTAAAAACCGTAAATATTACAAGTTTTTGGTATGGGGCATTTTTTGTTTAATGTGCAAAATTATTTTACTTTATAGAAAGTCATTGGAATGAAGCAAACCTCATATCACAAGGATCAATAAAAACCGTTAATTTCCATGATGGTAGGGATGATTTTGGTTATTTAACAACCGACGAATCTTCTATTAAAGTTCCTGATTTGGTACATCAAAACGATTTGAGGAAATTTTTGGTCAGGCAAAGAAAAATTGGCGATACTAGGTTTTATTTTTGTAATTATTGCATGAAGAAGTTTAAAAAACCTTCAGATTTAATAAGGCATATTAGGATACACACCAAAGAAAAGCCCTTCAAGGTAGGTTTACATCAACCTAGATGAGTTTTTTGTTGAAAAACTTCCTACAAACTTTTCATACTTTTACGACCTTACTATCCATTTTTTTGTTTTAGTGTAAAGTATGTAATGCAAGTTTTTCTCTAAAATCAACACTCCTCACTCATTCCAAAAGACATCAATTAAAAAGAGAATACATCTGTCCTATATGCAATGGTTCATTCTCCAATTTGCAAAAGATAACAATTCACTTAAGGTACATTGATTTAAATGAATTTAAAATAATAATTACGGAGTGAATTTGACAATACGTTGTTTTTTTTATTAAAAAATGACTTTCCCCAATTTAATTTTAGGAGACACAATGTTCAATCTCCCTCTTACAGTTGCAAACAATGCGATAAAACTTTCCAAAGCTATGCAGACGCAGAGAATCATAGCCGTTTGTATGAAAAAAACGAAAAGCATTTAGTTGTTCCGCTATTTAAACCGGCAACACCGCCTCCTTACAACAGTAATAAAATTTAATAACGTAATAGCGATTTTTAGAAAATATTTTTATTTTATAGATAACACAAGCGTTTTAAAGCCCAGGGTTGAAGCTCCAGAAGAAGTAAACGTTAAAAAAGTTTTTCAGTGCTCCATTTGTTTGGCAAAATTTTCAAGGGTCATAAATTACAAAAAACACTTGCAATTACATCAAGAGAAGAAGACTACCTGCAGAATTTGCACCAAGTAATATGACTCATTTCAAATGAAATTATACATAAATTAAAAAAAAAATGTTGCTGCTGTAATTTCTGCGGACCAAGCACGCAAAAATTAAATCACAAAGTTTAATCAAAACAGCAGCAACAACTTTTTCTTGGATATTTGGAATAATAAATTTCACTAGTTTACAGCCATTTTGCCCACCATTTCTTACTATGATTTTCTTGTGTAGTTTGGCGCACTAAACGCGAAAATCACACTTGGAAGCGTTTTCGAGATATGAATTTTCAATTGTTTTTTTTTAATTTTCCGAGGCGATTTGACATTTTATAGTATACTTTCTAAATCAAAGGGGATTAAGCCCTCTAGAACTTTCTCTTGTATAGTTTTGGTATCGGCCCAGTAGCGATTTTATTAAGTTAAAAATGTTCTTTTTTTTACCAAAATCGAGGTCTAAAATTTGTTTTACCTATAGATGATACTTGAAGGAAAAAAATAAGCTGCTGTTGATAAAAATCCATGGATAACTGGCGAAGTTATAAATTTTTCAGTGGAAGAGCAAAATTCAGTTTTTCGAGAATGTTTACGTTTTTTCTTCATTTTATTGAAATATATACAATTTAATATCGAACATTGATTTTTATATTAAACATTAAATATTGAAATTAAATTCTACATTGAATTTATTTTAAAGTTTTATTTTGTTTTAATAAGCATAGGTTTAAAAAAATTCTGGCTCATTCTTTTTTTTGTTGTTTTTGTATTCCATTTCTCATGGCTGCATCCAGAAGCCGTGATACCGCCGCTCCATAGCCTTTATTTGCTGGTGAAAACGTAGGTTTTTATTAAAGAACAAACATTTTACTAAATAAAAGAAAAAAAAAACTAAAAATCATCAAAAAGCTGAATTTTGGTCTTCCACTAAAAAATTCATAACTTCGCCATTTATCCATGGATTTTTATCAACCTTAGCTTGTTTTTTTTTGTAATAATGTCAGCTTTACGAAAAAAAATTCAGACTAGAGTTGTCTGTTTGATTTAAATCTTTCCCCAGGACGATATGTAAATTTTTACCATGAAAACGAAGTTATCAAAATCGCTAGCATCAAAATGCTTTTCCTATATCAAAAGTATGTAAAAAAAGTTTTAGAGGGCTCAAATACCTTCAGTTTAAGGGCTTGTTTGGCCAAATCGATCAATTAGATTTCAAGCTATACTCAAAAACGTCAAAACACCTTCAAATATTTAAAAAAAACAATTAAAAATTCATATCTCATAACGCTTCCATGAAAAAAATTATAATGGGATATGGTGGGCAAACATTTTTTTCGATTTTGTAAACTAGTGTTATCTTTTAGATCGTTCAGAACTCCGTTTAGCCTCAATGTTCACATGAAGTCCCATTTGAACATAAGAAACTACCAATGCAACGTATGCCCCAAAAAGTTTGTTACTGCGCATATTCTGAAAAGACACTCTTTGGTGCACATGACGCAGCGACCTTTTGGGTGCTGGTACTGCGATAAGCATTTTAAAACGCTGCTTATGCGCAAGCAGCACATGAAAAGGGTACATAAAGTCGAGGATGTGGACAAACCAGAGGTGAGATATTTATTTTTAACGGTATTTTTTAACATCGTTTTTATTTTAGTTGAACGCCAGCGAACATATTCCAACAACTGTATTGGATTTTACAGACATGGTCAATGAAGAGATTCCTCTAATTGAAAAGCCGTCAAATCAAATTAGCGTCATAGCAAGTACTGTACATTCAGAGAATACCAATGAAACAAATGTTCTTCAGGTAATATAAATATTTTATGAATACATTAAATTTTTACCTGGGTAGAAAAAAGTTTTTCTTATGTTTATATGAACTTTCTGTTTTTTTGAAATTATTTACAGTTAAACTCTGATGCTACAAATCAACAAACATATTATGATATACCGACTGAAACCATACAAATTTTAACTGAAAATAACAGTGCATCATTATTGCAAGAGCAAAATGGACAACTGGAGACAATTTATATAAATTCTGACAATGCTAATGTATACTCTGAACTCAAATTGCAGGTAATTATATTTTTTTTCAGACGTCTGTAAAATGACACTTATGTGACTTTTCACAGACATTTAGCTAACGAGCGGTAGTAAAAATATTTTTACTGCCGCTCGTTTTTAGCAAAACTTTATTTAATGTTTGTGTAGACAATAAATGAACAATTAATTATTGTCGCACCTTTAAAATTAAAGATCTAGATCTGTTTTATCGTAATTTTTGCTATAGCCTGGTTGAGAATCAAAATAATTTGGTTCAGGGCTTGTTGAATCATTCTTATTAGAATGAATTTTTTAATGATATCTTCTTCTCACTAGGTACTAGATTTCTACCCTCCATCAGTGTTGCCAACTCTTAATGCAATAAAGTAGCTAGAAGTAAAGTTTAAAAAGGCTAAATTTTAAAATGCTAAAAAACGTATCAAAACTTTTGATACGTTTTTCTGATTCTGATTCAAAATTAGTAAAAAATACCTGTATTTTAAAATTGGAAAGGAAATAATTAAAACAAAAATTAAAAATTTATTGTTTTATCAACAAAAAACAAACATAAATATTTGACAAATATATCATTTGATATTTAATATTAGAAAAATGCAGAACAGATGATAAGAAAGAAATCTGTATTGTATTCGTAGTTTTGGCAGGCGACATCTCTTAAATGTGAGATGTCACTCTACACTACCCACGACACATACTTAAGTAGTATGTATGAGACCCACTATACACTAGGGTGATGCAAAAAAATTTTTTTTTTGAATTCTATGCGAGACCACTCGGGTTTTCAAAGAGTATCAAGAAAATAAAAATCTGTAAAAATTTTAGAGAAATCAATTAAAATTTAGAGGTCGCTCAACGCAATTGTTTAATTTAGAAAAATCACGCATCTCAAATGCATTGCTATAAACAAGTAGGCATATTTCATACAAATTTGAATGAAAATGGTTGAATTTTTTTTTGGTGGACTCTTAATGATTATTCTAATAAATAATGTTGTCCCGATTTCAAAAAATTGTTCATAATATTTAAAAAATATATATTAATTAGCAAATATAGCTTAGTTAACCAATAATTCATTCAATTTTTTTTTTGTTTCAAAATCTGTAAAAACATTGTTAATAGGTCTACAAGCAATTATTCATTCACAAAAACACTCGCCCCCATCGTTAAATATGAGAAAAAAAAATAATATTTTAATTAACTACACTTCGCGTCAAATTTAACGCACCACTAAAAGTTTGTCACATTTGCAAAGTTGATTTTCTCACATGTATAAAATACCTACTTGTAATTTAAATAATTAATAATATTAATCTATAATATATTATAATATATTATATAATATAATATATTATATAATATAATATATTATTCATGGTGTGCTTAAAATTTGCACAGTCAAAAAATAAACCCATAACATAGCCAGATGATATTCAAAAAAAGGCCAGGATTCCGGGGTCCCGGAATTTTTTAAAATTATAGCTAAATGTCTAGTTAAATATACTAAATTTAGCCATAAATGGCTGAAGTTGGCAACACTGCCTACCATGGTGTTTAACGTAGGTGACGTCGGCCCCTTCATCTACATTTTAGATTCTACAAGAAGTGTTCTTAAGCAATGTCCTTCCAATGTGGTAATTTCGAAAATTGAGTCACTTTTGGTACAAATTAATGAGACCTGTATCATTTTTTGCTTAAATTTGTTTTGTTCACCCATAGAAAATTTTTGAAACATTGATTTTTTTCTATTTACGAGTGACATTTTTTCTTCATAACAAATGTTTAAAAATGTTTAGATCGTTACAATTTTTTTAAATTGTAGGTAAATGTTTACTCCATACAAAAAAAGTATAAAAAATTAAGTGAAAACACTTAATTGGGAGAAGTTGTCTGAAAAAATTACAATTTTATTCTTTTTTTGCAATGCTGGTTTTTAGGAGCTTTCAAAATTGAAAAACCATACTTTATGCCAAAACTATTATTTTAATAAAAGAAGTTGGTCATAAAAGAAATCCACTTTTTTTTAAATTTGATCCCATGTATTAATCAATTTTTTAATACAGAAGTAAATAAATTAAGAAGGCTTTAAAACCTTTGTGTTTAAAAGAAGTATCAGATTTGACAGTTCGTTAGTTTGTTTTGCTGGTGAAGTGAATATTAACCCCTTCAGACCTGGTGTACATTCAGATGTACATTAGCTTTTTAGTAATTTATTTACTATCAATAGGCATTAAATTTCATTTAGAACCTAGTTTTCACCCCCAAGTACATTTGTTTTGGTAAACTAAGGTACATTTTGAGACTTCTCTTACTTAAACTGCCCCTTTTGATTGAAAATTCTCTCATATAATGGAGATGCGCATAATGACAGCAACAACTCGTTGACGACAGTTTGTCTTAGCGGGTCTTTAGATGATTTGTAAAGATATTTTTTAAGTATAAACTGGTGTAGTTTGTTCCTAAAGGTATGTACTAAGACATGTAAAAACTATTTTGGTATTATCCACACCTAAACCGTATAAAACATTCTATGTACATGCATGTGAACATCCTGAAATTATCCTGAAATTTCACAATTAAGATTTTTTAGCATCAAATATGTGTTATTTAGGTCCTAATTCGATAGATTTAAGAGCCATTTATTTTTTTTATCGTCGTAAAATAGTTCAGGTCTGAAGGGGTTAAAATTTTATTTTACTATGAAAACATGCTAAAACTTTATAAAATCAAATAAAAATAATAATTGAGGTGGTTATAATCAAAGGTGTGGAAGTAACTGCTCAAAATTTTTTGGTTTTAAAAATACTAAACAAAATCATTCAAATATTTTAAAACGATTATAAAAAGTTACATCTAACCGCCATTGTAGGAAATCTCTGGCAATAAATAGAAAAAAAAATATAAAATCAAATGAAATTTGTAATTTCTAAACATAATTAATCTGCGCATTAGTTTTTGGACCTCTTACGCTTAATACTTATTCCTTCCTAATAGAGCCTCAGTCCAAAAGTTTTGCGACTGCCTCACTCATCTGTTAACCGAAAAAAAATTTCGGAATTGTTTGTGTTCTACATTTCTTCGAAATCGCGTTTTTATGTTTCTTGTGCATTCGATCCATTACTTTTAGGTGTGTAATACTTTTATTTTAACCAAAATTAACTTAATTTACTTACTTACTTACGGTGAAACCAAGTGGAAAAAATAAACTTTTTTATATATTAACCTACAATTTTAAAAAAATCAATGTTTCTGTCCATTTTTCAAAAATTGTCAAAGGGTGAACAAAACACATTTAAGCAAAAAGAAGAAATATTGGTCTCATCTATTTCGGTAGAGAAACTGTAAAAAGAATTTCGTTGAAAAATAATGTCCCACCCCTTTTTGCCTGGCCGATTTGATATAGAAAGACGGTCTTTCAAAGACCTATATACATTTTATATGATAAAAATGTAACCTTCATTCCCAAGTATTCTAGTATTATATCTAGCATTGAACATAAATTGCTAAAATAATTTTTTTGTGAAGCCTCTCGTCTTTTTTAAAAAGAAGCCTTCATTTTGCTTCTTCCATTATGCCTGTAGTAGTTTAATACATTTGCTGAACATTTGCAAAACATTTTCTGATTATTTTTTAAGGTTTTTTTCGCACCACTTTAAAAAAAAATTTAAAAGCTGCTGCGATTTAGTTGGCATTAAATTATCGGTGGCAGATCTGGCAGCGTCTGCTATTTCGGGGAGTACCTACCCATCATGAAATCTTCGCCTAACATATTAATTATGCTTGAGCTTTAGTAAAAAATCAATAAACCCTGAAAAAAATAATTTAAAATTAACCTAAAATTCGTCAGGGAATAAATGTCAACTCCATTTTTTTATATTGTCGCCTTGGTTTTGTATTATTAGAGCAGTGATGCATTGTATTGTAATTTTGCATGAATGAAGACTATATTTTTGTGTATAATTGATACATTTTCATTGCTCGGTTTTAGAATAACGACTGCCTCCTATTGAACTCAATAAGCGACCTACAAGATCCCAAAATACTTTTTAACTCGGGAACCCTGTCTTCTGAAATAAACTACGAACCGCAGGAAATAATAAACGTGAATCAGTTTTTCGCAAACACGAGCGAACAGATCGCGCCGGATGAGAATCGTGAAGAGCCTAAGAATAACGAAGGGTTGATTTTAAATTCGCTCCTCACCTCGAATGTGTTGTACAACAGCAATGTTAACTTTGCCAGCGAGGAGAGCAATTTGCTTAATGGCGATTTAATGGGTAGCGAGCAAATGTTCGCTGAAACCGTGGCCGAGAGTGATAATTACGAGGATACCAATTATATATGCGAAAAATGTAATAAACTGTACGCTAATATAAGCGACTTCAAGGATCACGATTGCACTGACGTGCCTGAGAAGGAAACCAATGTTGTGCAAGAGAAAGAAGATGAAAATGGCGATTCAGGTTTAAAATGCACGGAATGCAATAAAACTGTGAAAACAAAAAGCGCTTTGGCCAAGCATTCGGAAACACACTCCAAAGAGAAAAAAAGTTCCGAGTTAAAAACCTGCAGCTTTTGTCAAAAGGCGTTCAAGAAAAACTGCGATTTGGTAAGCATTTGAAAATGTAGCTCCTACACGGAAAAAAGCTATTCTATATTAAAAATTTATCATCTCAGTCCAAGTATATCTCACCATTCCGCACTTTTTATTTAAGGATTGATTTATTCTTATTTGTAATTTAAATTAATACTTATTTGAAGGAGGTTGAATGCAAGAATTATCTTATATTTATTTGGATATTATTTCAATGTTAGGTGCAATGGTAAACTTATTCTTATTTCAAGAAAAACTATCATATTATTTTAAATGCAAGCACCCTCAAATAAAATATACACTAGGCTTAATTTAAGAATAATTATTTTTTTATACAAATGTTATAATTCTTGGCGATACAATTTTTACTTTTGGATTAAATATAAGGTATCTTTATACATATGTAAGTTAAGCAATAATTGTTTCAAATATTGTCCATTCTTTTTATAACTTTTGCTCAACTTTAAATAAAGCTTATAAGCTTTATTTAAAGTCGATATATAATGACCATATTTATTTCAAAAGGTAAAGAGTGGATTATGCTATCTATTTTTTTAAGACTGATAGAGAAAAATAGATAGGATAATTCACACTTTACCTTTTAAAATTAACATATCCTAACCTTTAAAGTCGAGCAAAAGTTAAAAAAAGAATAGACAATATTTAAAACAATTATTGCTTAACTTAACCTAAAAAAATGATATTGGTCTATAGCATTGTCTTTGTTACATAACTTTTTTACAATGTTTCAAATACACATATACCTATCTACCTATATACAGGGTGTATCACGGTCGATGGTAGGTTAGACGTTTATGGAGAACGGCAAAAGATTTCGAATTGAAATTTTTATAGCAATTATAATATAATTTAATCTATTTTTCTAAATTATTTTGAACAAAATTCCTCTTCCGGTTTTAACGGAAGCGATATCATCACAATTTTTTTACATTTTTAAATTCCTACTTTCATTACTTATAAAATGGCTATACCATTAATTTTTTTTTGTAAAATTCGGTCAGTTTGTCAGTTTCACCATCAACAAAAAGAGCTTATAACTTTTTTTAATATTAGGTTTGCTGATATTCGGTTGGATTTATTGGAATCCTGAAGCATTGTTTTAAAGATTCCAGGTAATTTATTTTAATATTTCTAAAAAGATACTTGGTAAAAAACAATGTGAATGTAGCTTAAAACAGCAATAATGGAACGCCCTGTATATTTTTACATAATTAAATATGAAATTATAATACCTTTTCTTTGATATAACTATTCCCTATACCTAAAGTTAATATTAAGAAAGATATTTTACAATTAACCTAATAATATGAAGAAAAACTGAGAAACTGAGAAACTGATGAACAACATGTGTATTAATTTGGTATGAATAACAAATCTTTCCCGATATTTATTATTATTAAAATAAAGGAAAATAACTACTCAAAAGAAGTTGAAAATATTTATGCTTAATGGATAACCAAATTAAAGGTACAGCATATAAAAAGTTTCTGCATTTTCTAGCAATAAGTTTGTCATATTGTCAATGAAAAATAAACAAGTTCATGAAAACTTCATTTGAGTAGTGATTTGAAGGTATTATAATTTCATATTTAATTGTGTAAAAATATACAGGGCGTTCCATTGAGAATAAAAAAGTTATTGTTGTTTTAAGTTAGCTACATTCACATTGTTTTTTACAAGTATCTTTTTAGAAATATTACAATAATTTACATAGAATAATATTATTTAAAACAGTGCTTTAGGATTTCAATAAATCCAACTGAATATCAGCAAACCTTTTATTAAAAAAGTTATAAGCTTTGTTGAGGGTGAAACTGACCAAATTTTACAAAAAAATTAATAACTCAAAAACTATTAAGTTTAGGTATAGGACATGATATAGCCATTTTATAAGGAATGATGGTAAGAATTTAAAATTGTAAACAAAATTGTGGTAATCCATTTAAAATAACAAAGTTGATATCGCTTCCGTTACAACCGGAAAAGGAATTTGGTTCAAAATAATTTAGAAAAATGGTTTAAATAATATTATAATTGCTATACAAATTTCAATTCGATTTCTTTTGCCGTTCTCCATAATCGACCATGATACACCCTGTATATACCTATCTACCTTTAATATAATATAGGATACAATGATTTTTATGGTGGTTAATTCTATAAAATTCCACTAATTTAGGAGCTCTTTCATAATTCCAAACCACAAGAAACAATCTTCCAATATGTCAGACACTTTTGTGAGAATATGCAAGTCGTACCAATATTTACTAATCTTAGAATAAATATAATTATATTTATATCCAGTATAGTTTTATATATTCAAGAACAGAATAGAGGGAATTTTACAAAATTTGGTCTAATCGATTGTTAATCTTAAATTAAGAATAAGATTATTTAATTTAAAGTCTTTCTTAACATTTAATAGGCAAGAATAAGATGTGCTTGTTTAAAGAAAGATTAATATTTAGTTTAATGTTAGTTTTAGCCTTGACAATATTAGGTCAATCATCTTGTTTCAACTGTACTTGATTTTAAGCAAAGAAATAAAATCTTTTTAATTTAAGGCTAGGTTAATATTTAAAAGAAATTTAATGTATTAGTAGCCTAAGCAAATTGTACTTAAATCAAGTGATTTTTTTTTCCAAGAATAAAGGTATTCTTACATTTAGAAAACATTTTTTCCGAGCACAAGCTCTTACTGTATAAACTTTATTTAAGCAACGACACATTAGAACCCACACCGGAGAAAAACCATTCGCTTGCGACTTGTGCGACAAAAGCTTCGCCTTAAAATCGACTTTGGCGTCTCACAAGAAAACGCACGAACCCGTCGTGACAAAAAATTTCAACTGCTCCGTTTGCAACTCGTTTTTCGTATCGAAGTCGACGTTAAAAATACACATGAACAGTCATACAGGTAAACAGAATTGTGTTTTACGCAGCGTAAATCCAATTGGCTTGTTTTAGGTATCAGGCAACAGTTTTCTTGCAGTTTTTGCGGGTTAAAATTTAAAACGATGCAGAGCAAGAATTCGCACGAAGAGAAAAAACATAAACAACCACAGAAAGAGGATAAACCTGTTAATAATATTAGTAGGTTATTGGCTTCGGTGGCGAACGATTTTACTGCAATGGAAAATATTGAATTAAATCAAAACACAGTAAAAATTATTAATACTTTTATTTTATACATTTTACTGAATTTGAATCTTTAGCATCTACCTGAAATAGTGACGTCAGACCTCACCCAGGAGCTAGAAGTGGTTCCAAACGACATTCTGCAACAGTTGCAGTCCAACAACATAATAATACAGAATCCACTAAATTTGGATCTCCCATCAATAATCCGACTGGAAGATCTAACACTACTCAACTTCAAAACGGTGTCGGTGGAGAACCCTGAGGTACTCAGTACTGAGGACGCTACTGAAGTTCTTGCGCCGCCGCCTGTCGAGAAACCGAGGAACTTCGAGTGCGACGTTTGCCATAAAAAATATACCTCCAAAGATATTTTGAGGAAGCACAGGAAAACTCACGGGTTGGATAAGAACTTTTTCTGCGATAGTTGTAAAAAAGGGTTCGATACGCAGGTTGAGATGGATAAACACAATAAGTTGCATGTAGGGTATAGACCTCATTCGTGTAAATATTGCGCTAATAGTTTTGCTGATGTTAAAGGGCTTAATGCTCACATGAAAAGGTAAGAATATTATTAATAATAATTCGTTTAAGACTATTTTTTGTGTTTTAGGATTCATAGCAATATTAATGAAATGATTTCCGATAAATTTGGAATGCAACTGGAACTTTTAGGCCAAGGTTCAAGTAAATTATTTTAATAGGTTTTAATAATAATCTATTTTATTTTGTATATAAAATACAATTTTTATGTTAAACAAGTTTTATTTTATACATTTTTATATTTTCTACTATAAATGGTGATTTAAAAGGTTATTTTACAACAATACATATTTTTTAATGATTTTTTGGTTGTTTTATTGTTTTCAAAATATAGTTTTTTTAGCTATATCATGATAATATTCCTAAAGAATCTTTTGTTTATTAAATCGGATCTGTTTTGAACTGCAAACTTGGGCCCATAAATACGAATATTCATTCTATGTATGAAAATTGCCTATTTTTCTTAATCAGATCCGCTAAATATATTCTTCATAAAAACAATTACAATAAGAGTGCTCAAAAAATTTTAAATGCCAAATGTTTAATTGTACGTCTATCACAGTTTTTGAGCAGTACTAGAATTTTCATTTAATTTCCTTGTAAAAACTACATTATTTTTTTTAAGTATGTAATTCTGGCGGGCTTGGTCAGTGCCTGAGCACAATTCCACGCGCGAATATAATTACAAACTTTTTTATTTTATCTTTAAAATCTACATTAGATTTACATATATATATGTACAGGGTGATTCACCTAACTTATTCATTAGAATTTTATGAAGAACGGAAAACGATAACCATTTTAAATTTGTGTTGCAATTTTAAGCCGGTTAAAGCGGAAGTGATATCAACTTTGGTTTTTTAAATGGAACCATATAAATATTTTTGAATTTTTAAATTCTACGTAAAATTCTAGAAATACTAAAATTATTATTTTTTAACGGTTTAACTGGAAGTAATAAGGCATTGAAAATTATTTTAAAAAATAGTTTATATTGCCTTATAATTACCATACAAATTTTAAATCGATATCTTTTTTCGTTCTCCATAAGCTTCTAATGAATAAGTTAAATGAATCACCCTGTATAGGTATATATATATATATATTTTATTAAAAAAATATAATTTTTTAGGTCTGATAAAAGACAAAAATAGATGTAGAAACATAATAATAAATATTATAAATTAATACAGGGTCCGGCATCAGAATTGAACGGTTTTGAAAAGGCTGCTATGGAAATACTATTGATTTGGTATATGTCAAATAGTGACAGACCTTATACCTAATTGCCGAAGGTTTCGTGTGCAATGTCAAACTGGCCGGTTAATCAACGGATCTTTGCTGTAAATTCGTTTACCCTGACCGTCCTTCGTATACAAACGCAGAGAAGCTTTCGTCGTGAATATAATAATTTTCAAGTGCGAACTGAAGTCCCATAAAAAAATGCCATTTCGAGATGGGTAAGAGATTTTAACGAAAAAGGCAGTGTAAAATCAAAATTTGCCGCTGGAACTCGTACAGTTTGTACACAAGAAAATATTGGAAGAGTCAGAGAAGCGTTTGAGCGGCACTCGTTTGCTCTACACATTTCAGACCAAAAAACCGACAGTCCAGAGGCTAAATCCCATTGATAAAGTCAATAGACTCAATTTCTGCACACAATTTTTAATTGCCATTGTACACGAAACAATAAGGAACAAGTCTGTCACTATTTGACATATATTAAATCAATATGTAGTATTTCCATAGCAGCCACGAAACTTTCGGCAATAAGGTACAAGTTGGCCACTATTTGACATATATCAAATCAAAAGTATTTCCATAGCAGCATTTTTAAAACCGTTCAATTCTGTTGCCGGACCCTGTATTAAATATAACTATATAAAATAAAAAAAAACCCTGGTTTTTATTTTTATGTTATAGTTCATAGCAAAAATATTATTTTAGTTTTAAAAGTCTTTATTTATGGAAAATCGGGAATGAGTAAAAGATCTGTTTGTAGCAATTTCAAACAATAAATAGACAATCTGCAGTTACTTTACAAAATTGTTTTATTTCATATTTAATTTTTTACTCAAACTCTAAAACTCTTAAGAAGCATCGAGTTTTCGAAACGCGCGCGCCATCTGGTGGCGCTCGATAGCATTGTACTGCGGGGTTTTTTAACAATACATTTAAAGCATACGAACTGCACATCATTTTAAAATAAAAAGTAGTTTTTTCACGAGAGGAAGACAGAAGTGTTCGAAAAGTTTCAATTGCACAGCTAAATCGCGCGCGTTTGTGTTTCGCGTTGCAAGTTAAAACTAAAAAACTTTGGTTTAACTTTTAATTCCTTATATATATCATTGATTATAAAACTCAACGCTTATATCCTTATAAGTATAGTTGGTACAGGTGGTATTTGCAGAGTACCTAAGTCATCATTTTGACAGATGCAATGCAACATGTGCCTTAGTCCACGTTATTTAAATTAGGTTATATGTGAGCAAATTACCTATTAAACTGTGTAAATCGTAATAATTTGTGTGTGATTAAAAACATAACTATGGCAAGTAAGTAAAGTAAAATAAAATAGACTTACCGTTTTTTTGCTCGAACCTTGTCTGAAAATGGAAGTATAATCCAGCAAAATAATGTCATTGGTAAAGAAATTGATCAGTTACAAGAGGCCGACGCTGTTTATGAATAGCCAGCCTTCTTATTATATTCTTAGTTTTGCTTTAAGTTATGTCGTAAGTTTTGTCTTAGTCTTAAGTTTTGTTCACAATTTATATATTTTTACGGCGTTGTAATATAATAAACCTTTTTTTAAGTATAAACAAATTTTTCCTCAAAATATCCCTTAATTTTTGACAAAACATTTCAACACAAAAAGTGCCCAAGTCCCAAATTATTTTATATATTTTTTTTGATGTAACAAAACGTTTTTTCGTTTTTATTCATGGAAGTTCAATCCACTTTTCACAAAGTATACAATACAATTGTACACACACATTTTCATCATAATATTTTGTGTAATATTTCATAATCAAAAATAAACCTTCAAACCGCAATAGCTCAGAATCACCTATTTGTGACTAAGGCACTTCTTGCATATAATAAATAAAGTTTATTAAATTTTTAATAATTATTACATTTGTTAAGTAAGTAAAAAAGAGCAGTAAAATTACTGGAAATAGACCTAACGCCGGGTTAATTAGGAATTCTCCCTCTCCCATTTCTTACATGATGCATGTGGCGGTACAAATAAGACCATTTAAAGTTACAGGTGGAGCAAAGGCCGAGTTATCGCATCCCCATGATAATAACACCGTCTAATTACCTTCATATTATCGTAATTATATCCAGCCATTTATTAGCATAACGACTTTCATAAACTCCACTTCCACTCACTTCTTTATTTTAGCCGTTCGCTTAATTCATGCAATTCCGACCGTGTAATTGCCAGTGCTGTGCTGTTTTACCAAAAAGAACAGGATATTTTCACGGTTTATCTTTTTAGATAATTTCTGTGCTCTTAAAAAATTCCCGTTTAGTTTTGTAATTTAATTATTTAAACCGAGTTATAGAAACAGACCTCCGTTTAACAGAAAGGGTTACAAATTGCAAAGTGCTTCGACCTTATTAAATTATGTACCTACAGTGAATTTTAATTCCCTACAATATTGTCTCAAACAAATTCATCGGGCAATTAATATATTACTATAGTAAAAAACTTATATACTCATGATTTTTAGATCTAGAAACTAAACTATTGATGATGGATCAAAATTTAAAATAGCAATTTTGTAGTACTTTTAATTTCCTACAAAAATTTTTGAAACAAATTTATTGAACCATTAATAGTAAAAAAGTTGTATACTAAAATAGCTGACGAAATATTTTGTGCGCAAAAGAGGTAACTATTTGTTTATTGAGTATGAGTATGAGCATTTTCACCCGGGCTGGTAAATCTCTCCTAGGGGGTCGTGTATGGTTAAGGCCACTCCCGGAATTTTGTAGCCGGGCCGGGCCATACGCCCGATTTACGCTAGTGGAGTGTGGGACAAGAAGGGAAAACATTTTGGTTTTGGGGGGACATTGAACCGACCAAAAACTAAGTACAGTCCGGAATCCCCCTAAACCAGGGATTTAGTAATACCCCCATTCAATTGGGGTTCATAAATGGGGTTTGGTTGGTTAGTTCGCTGCTTGCTGGTCTTGTAGTACTACCTGTTCGTTTGCGTCTCTGTCTGCTGAAAATTACTGCTGCGCACAAATTGTTTGCCCTACTGTTCGAAACCATTTCTTTAGTCTAGGAACTATTGATGGTTTTTGATGGTTTTTGTTTGATTTTTTTAATGTTTATTACCGAAGAGTTAAAACAGTAATGGAAGTAAATTATTTGTCCCACTGTGCGTAAACCTCAGCTTTACTTTGGTAAAGATCTTCGTAGTGATGTGTTGGCGTGTTTATTGTTGTCTAGGTGACTGAACTTATTTTTTTATTTATTTATTGCGTTTTCGGCGACTGTTTGTTTAATTTGGGGCTAGATTGATTTTGTACCGATTTATATTACGAATATGGAATTTCTCCATCTCTTGCTTGGCTGTTTCGTTTTCCTGATTTATATGCGTTAAAGACGCTTAACCTATTCGAGAGGGTTGACAGAAAATGCAAGATTACCTCCTTAGTAGAGAATACAAGTTAAATCATGCGGGTTATTGCTATTTAACTAATCTTTTGTTGCTGCGAACCACTTGTTTCTTCTGGAGAATGGTACATTGAATTCTCTGCATAAAATACCCCATAGAGACCCATACAAATAATCTATCGGGCGCTAACGGACTCAATATGTGCACCATAACTTCTACATTTCCCCTATTGAGACCGATAGCAAATAACTCAAGGAATGATATATATGGATATCCCTATAGAGCAACCATAAAACATTTTACAAAATTTTGTTAAAACCTATGGGGTCGTATGGGAGAAAAATAATTTCTACATTTATGTGTATTTTCCCTATTGAGACCGATAGCAAATAAATCAAGGAAGGATATCCCTACACCGAGAAAAATCTGAGATTTATAATTAACCAACGACTGTTTTCACGAATAATATTAATAAATAAATCAACTTGGGTATTATTAACAATAGCGTGTTTGTATAAAGTAAATTAGCATTTACAG